GCTTAATGCCAAAATCTAACAGTGGCTCGTAGTGATAGTAATTGCCTGGCATTGCATTTAAAATGTCACCCAGGAACGTGGAGCCCGAACGCCAGGTGGTGACCACAATGCTCCGCACTGGTGTGCCCCCCGTTTCGGGTGTCATATCATTTAGCTTTTCGGCACCGCCGCGCGGATACTCGAAGTTTTCCATTTCCTGGAGAATGCGCGCACGCTGCCCAGCCAGGACATCCACTATGGTCGCTGTCATATTGTAAATTGTGGCGGCCGTTTGTGATGGCTGCTGCTGCCGCTCATAGTAGCTGCTGCGTGGAAGCTGATTGGAAGCGAGAGCGGCGCTGTTGCTTCCACCTACACTTCCAGCGCTGCTGCTGCTGCCGAAGGGAGACATGGAGGGACGGCGCTGCGTGGTGGCAATCAGCAGCAGTATGCACAAACTGCTAATGCCGCAGATGCCAATGAGATTTGCGCGACGGGACATGCGGCTGCGTCGACGTTTCGAATTTAAGCTGATGCGCTGCTTAGTGCGTGTCCTGACAGTGGGCGGGGCTAAGGCGGGGGCGTTAGCGTTAGCGTTGGAGTCGTTAGCGGCAGTTTCGACTGTAATGCCGGTCAATAGCGCGCAGGACTCCAAGTCTAGATCGCTTGTGCTCATTTGATATTACTTAAATTAATTAGACACTTTAGCACTTAGCTTAACGGTTTCAACTTTACACCTATTCACTTTTGTTTACATATTCACATAAACAAATCGTACACACACACATACATTTACGCGCACGCCTACACGACCGCAGAGTAGCAGAGTAATACTAATTAACATTTTCCAAGTGCGCAAGACATTGTTATTTGTTAGTAATTTCGTACGCGTTTTATTTTTTATTATTTTGACCAAACTGTCCCGTCGAAATCCAATGCGACGTTTGACGAGCTTTCCGAGAGCAGCGAAAACGGAATGAACAGCTGTGCTGTCCGAGTGCGGACGTAAGGCGTTTTGTACTAAAATACACCGAATATGGTCCAATTGAAAAATACTAAAAATACTGCAAATGCTGCTCTAAGTCAGCTATCGATTGCAGTCGATATATTATAGATAAGGTGTGCGATATAAGCAAAAGATATACGAAAAAGTACCGCAACGTTTTTCGTTATGTTTATTTTTTTAGAAACTGAAGTTAAGTTTTGCAATGAAAAAAGTTGCAAAATCGTTGCTATAAAATACTGCAAATGATTTTTTTTTTATCATTTCTCCATATTGATAATAGTGTTCAATGCAGTTAATAATTAGTTATTTCACTTGAAAGTCGCTTCAAGTACTCTAAACTTTACTTCAAAAACAATGGCAAGTTCTTCAACGGTACAAAGATATTCGTCATGTTTTCAACAAACTCTGTTATGGGTTTATAGCCCCAAAGGGCCATAGCCTCACTGCAGACATCTTGGATATTCACAATCTTATTGAAGGTCAATATTTGTTTCCAAGAATATGGCAATTCGAAATTATATTTTATGTAAGCTTGAGTAATAGTAAAATTTGGCTTCAAATCCACAAGGCTTTTTGTTGGCAGGCCATAAAACCTATATAAGTCTATTACACCGTCCAGCGGATGTTGCACTAGTTCCTCATAGCGAACAATGCTAAAACATAATTAAAAAAAAAAAAAATCAAAACGTATTATAAAGCTAACAAATCTGAACTTGGTGAATTTACCCAAAACGATGCGGATATTCTCTCAATAAATACTCAGCGACCTGATAATCCTCCACCATATTTTTGCAGAGATCCTCAGGCTGACTGCAGGAGTGACTAGAGCACCAAATACCGTCACGTGAACTCATAGTGGCACGAGGATCTCGTACTATCAATATCATACGTACATTGAGGCTGAATAGTAAAATATATACATACATACATATATGATTATGTATGAAATATCTATTATTGATATACACATCTATTAGATACTCACTCCTCAAACTCCAGCAAAGATTTCAGATATAACAGACCCAAGTTATATACAGACATATTGATGAATGGAAATATTTTGCAAATTCGTGACAACGTTTCCGGCTTGGAACAGACCTCCATGGTGTAGGTGAGGCACGTCTTATACTGCACCCCATACAATTTCCGAAATGTCGACGATTTCATGCCATACTTGATCATCTCCAGCGAACGGTTATAGTCACAATTCAGCAAGGAGTGCAACTCGTTTACCGCGGCCATAGCCTGCGGCCTCTCCTTGATGCGCTCCTTGTATGCTATCAGAGGCGAGAAGTGATGGTAAGCCCCCGGAAGACGAGACAATTCCTCCAATAAACCTATTACGCCCGAGCCATGAAATGTGACCAGAATCGAACGCAGCGGCTGCCCACCAGACTCCAGAGTGATGTTCGTGAAATTTGTATACTCCGTCGCATCCTGTGTCTGCTCGGCGAGTATATTGCGCGACATTGTCACCGGATCGGGCAACAGCAGAGGCAATATAAAGAATACAAACAGCGTATACGTCAAATATATGGCAATGCAGATGCCGGTGAATTTGGTACTGCGCTGTACCATCTTGATGCTCAATTGATCTCAAAATAAAGAAAAGAGAAATGAAAAAAAGATGTTTAGACGCTTACATAAATTTATTTGATATATTTTTCTACTTTTCTCCAAATACTGTATCAATTTTGTTGGAATGTGCTCAAAAAGAAAAACGATGATTTCATGCGACATATGTAACTACCGTATAGGCTACTATATTTGGTAAATGAATATCCAATTTCTCTCACAATTAAAACAAAACTCTACAGGCAGCAGCTGAGCTGTATATGTCGAACGGCCTCAATTTGTAATAAGTCTATCAGATTCTCTTTAGGTTTTCTTTATACTTTATGTATACATGTGTATCTTAAATTTGCTTAAAATATAGATTTCATTTATCAAAACTTATTGAAAAATAAAGAAACATTTCTTAATTAAGATTTCCATAACAAAATTGGAACATATTGGAACATATCTCATGTCTAATTTTCTCCAATATATCATTCCTCTAATATCAATGCAAATCAATATCAAATTTATCTAGCATACGCTTTCTTATTTACATAAACTATTAAAAAAAACACACAATTATTTTTCATTTCAGCTTTACAGCATAATTTATTTATAATTTACCAAATTATATAGACATAATTAATATATTTATTGATATTTGCAATATATA